CTGCCATGTCTATGTAATTTAGCGAGCTAAAGTGACACGCACTCAGAGCTAAAGTCGCCTACTGCAGTGTACTTGTACAGCACGTTCCGAGTCGGCAATGTCTTTTGGTTGAAACGTCTTTGGATCACGCGCTCCTCTTTGGTCAAAACTACAACGCAAACGGCAAAAAGTGTACCCAATTAACGTAATACTAATAAAATAAAATAAAAACAATACCTCCCAGTCAAAACGAAACACAGGAAAAGTTTCAAATTCATTTTAATAGTTTTCACAATAGTCTAAAAGAATTCATATGCATTTATTTAAACTGAATTAAAATAAGTAATATAAAAGCAAATTCGACAACGCCAATATAGATAATTATTTAAAAGTGAGAAAAAAAACACATTAAACATGTTGAAATGCTCAAAACTTCCAAATCAAAACTGCTAGTCCGGTTCGGTCTCGCATAATACCGAGATCTTTTCGTCCGTCAAAGCGCATTTCTGAACGACCCACCCACAGCAAAACAGAGTAGTTTGTGACATATGCTTGCTGCCGCCATCTCATTAACATATTTACCGCAAAATCAAAAATTACAACAAACAGACTGTGTTGACAGACGAGAAGATCACAAGCATTTTGCCCATAGAGTGCTTATCGCTAAAAATCTTAATTACATATTCTCTCACTAAGTTGTCACTAGGTAAAATTGTTATTAAGAATGAAAAAAAACAAACCGAACCAGAGGCAGCGTGCCGGACGACCATTGCAAATGTAATAAACACGACCACAAATCAACAAAACTGATTCTATGAAACACTCGACAGAAACAATTTTCTATAAAAATATATTATACTTTCATTTGGGAATCAATAATGGTGTCGTCGTCTCGACATATTTAAGGCTTCATTAATTTAATGCCTCTACGCAGACAAACAAGTAGGTCACAATATTAATTACTCAAATTTCAAGAGCAAATAGATAAATATCCACAATCATTTTAAGTACAAATCTGAAACCAAACCAATGGGATATTGCATTTATTATTTATTAAAGTATATCGAGACGGCGACTGCAAAATCCTGTTTTAAAAAAATAATTTTAAATGCACCATTCGCGGCGTGAATCACTAAGAGAAAATTCAGAATTATTAAAAAATATAGTGATAAACCTTCATTGAAGACCGCGAGCTTTCAAGGCCCAAGGCGACGTCAGGGGTCCGGTAGAGCGAACTGGCAACACAACCACCAAACGTCAACGGATTGGGCATTGAAATGGCGCGCGCACAGACATCGAAAAAAAAACTAAAAACATTTGTCTAACTTCATTAATTATTTAGGTACTATTTTTATTTAATTTTCATCTAGGTAATGAATCTACACTTCTCTATCATTGTATTATTTATTTATTTATATAAACCGTTCAAATTTTCACTAAAATATTCTAGCACGAGAGAACACACGCTTCCCGTTCGCGCGAAACGCTAAATACGAGAAATTCACTAATACGCCGATCCGCTCCGATTTAGAAGTATCAAAAAATGTTTACTTTTTTTTTGCGGATTTTTAAGGTTTTTTTAATTTTTTACTAGGAAATCCAACGATTCTATATACATGCAAGTGAAATGGTGCGAAACTCACTCGAGAGAACGACGAGGGGACGTACACTTTCATAACAACAACAACAATTCAAAAGTTTCATTTTAGCTAAAAAGTATCAAATTTCATTTAAAAAAATGTATACTGTGTGCTAGGAGACCGCTTCCCAAAACGAAGACAGACGATAGTACTAATGACACCTTTGATGACGGGACGGAAAAAAATATCGATACTGATTTAAAAAATTATAATATTTTAAAAACGTTTTATTAGCATTATGTACGCTCCATCATGTTAGTACAGCTGAATGAAACGATAGTTTCATAAAAAACACATTACTAAAAAAAACCACCAATGAAACACAAAACCAAAAACTGCTGATGCAGCGCAGTCTCGCGCGATCCCAACAATACTTTTTTACAACATTTGTTTAAATAACTATATCATTAAAGGTGTCATTAGTACTATAGTCTGTCTTCGTTTTTGGAAGCGGTCTCCTAACACCCAGTATATGTTATATATATATACGAAATTCTTTCTTAATAACATATTAAATACAATATTTTAATATAATACTTAAATATATACATAATATATACGTATGACAAACTGCCCCCCGCAGTGCGAACTATACTCTGTGATATGCCATACAAAATTATCCAAACAGAATTTTCATTATAAACACGTACACAATAAAAACGGATAACATACAACAATAACAACGTAAGTAGGAGACGACGACTGAAAAATTAAAAGGCCACGCGAAAAACGCCCCAATTTTTCAATCGCAGCTTTCAAAAACTCGAAAAAACCGCGTCGCAGAACGACAAAGCGATTATAAACAAAACCAAAGTCAACCTATAAACGAACAAGGCAATCCCGTAGTTAAAACTTAAACATCCTTCCAAATTAACTGAAAAACGTGAAATTAAAAATTCTACGACACAACAAACCACTACGAGAACGCATCAAAAGGCGGCGAGAAACTCTCTCCCGTCAATGTGAAACGCTAAACATTAAAAAAAAAACTCCATTTAAACAGTAAGACCACGGCTCGCACACAACTCTCAACCTCAACATCTTCAAAACACAAGTCACCAGTCGTTCGGAGACCATAGTCATTCATCGACAGACCACGCGTGCACAGGCGTACCAACGTTGCGCGCTCAAAAAAATCACGTCCGAATCCGAATTATTATACTCAATTATCGTTTTTTTTTTATAAAAATACAAAAATACAAAATGGGATAGTGCTATACGACATTCACACAACACGCTCCTCGAAGCATTTCGCCATTGTTGAACTTCATTAAGGGGGGAGGGGAGGGGACGTCAAGGGGGCGCAATTTCGAGAACAATCATTTGAGCAATCCCACCAAATCAAATAAACACAATTATTAATATATCAAATGAAAACGCACAAATCCCCAGAAATAAAGACGTTCAGAGTTGCAAGGAATAAATTTTCAAATTCTACCATGAAAAGAGAATGTGGAAACATTGTGTCGGTTATGAAATAAGAAAGATGGAAATGCATCTTCGTTAAGAATGCGCACAGGGCGTAATTTAAAAAATATGCTCTATTTTAAACTTTTTCACTTACGAGAGAAAAATCTTTTTTCATATTCACATTTCGACTATTATATATTTTATCAATTTCACTACAACAGAGACAGCGCGCCTCCACCGTGAAACGTTACGTATTAAAATTCATACTATAATTATTACTATTAAATTACCTAAGCTCTAAGAAAATATATAAAAATTTCAAACTATTCGTCTAAGTTTCTATATATTAAGAAGTGATCTTTATATTTATTAATTTCAACGTCACGTTTCACGGTGCGACTTCGTCAATGAAAATTTCACTAAAATGCCCTCTCTAATAAATACAATTGCACCTACTTAAACTTTAGAAAAAATTGTTTCTTTAATCCGAAAATCACGTATCGTTTCAAAAATATATGCCTATTTTTTGTAACCAGACAGATTTTTGTAACAAATTTTATTAGAATATATTATATTGTTTTTTACCTCTATTTTGTAACTACATAGAGGTAAAAAAACAATAAATATTCTAATAAAATTTGTAACGGTCGATCAACAATCCCGAACATTGGTGGCGCTCAGCACGGAACACAAAAAGAAAAATCGATGACATCGAGAGTTTAAGATTTAGTTCACGAGCTTGGTAATACGTGACCAGTCGATTCAAAGAATTACCAGGAAAGTGAAAAACCTAATATTTCGCAGGTCATCACGCAGAGCTGCAAGAGCTCTTGTGCCCAAAACTAAACCGATTCAGGAGGGGTAACATCAACAAACGGACAGACGAAAGGCACGCTTTAAGCATAGAGCCCAAGACACGAGGAAACTACAGTAACATTCTAAAGAAAAAACCATCCAAAAATCGCTAGTCTTTTTAACTACAGTCTACAATATCCGTGGTGATTCAGGGATACAGTCCGACGGATATTAAGTACAACTTGACGATACAGGCAAGCGGCCGGGGCATATCACACAAGCGCGCAGGCCACACCGCTTACTAGTGGAGAAAAAATGATTGTTTTTTAAACTACAAACATCATGCCTAGATTTTGTTTGGCCGATTCAACGTGGCGTACCCAAAACGCACACGAAACATTTAGAAAGTAGATAACTCATCAAACTGAAGTGAAACACCAAATTCAACGAGTTCTCACGGGCGCTACGAATACAGAAGCATCCCCGCAAAGTATAATTGGTCCTCTAATTTAAAAATATAGAAAAATATTCGTCATCTCGAGGCGATCTGCGACCCTTCTCATTCGCGACGAAAACACCCCTAGCCTAGTTCTTCAATGCCAATTATTCTACAGTTTCAGAATTATTCCCAACCGAACCGGGCACAGCTAATGAGCGTCCTAATCGCTGCATCAGAACGCGCTGCAAATCGCCAAAATTACCACTAACTCACATCAAAAAACAAGGAAAATAAAAATAATCTAAATACACACACAATTTTTAAATTACATTTTATGTGCATATAAAATGTTGCCAAATAAAAATTAACTACACATCATTAACACATTGACTGCCTTGTAGGTCACCGGTGTTTTACGCGGTGCACTGAAGTAATCATGTCAATTTCTGTTAGCGTCCGGATTGCCTAATTTTGCCTTCTATTGTTTTTAATTTATGTTTTAGTCTTAGTCTTTAGTCTACGGAATCATTAAACATTATTTATATAATTTTAAAGTCTAATAAAGTCAAATTCACTAACGCCACGACATGTACGAGCGCCTCTCAAATTAACTAACACACTAAGGCCTAAATAAATATATTGCTTCTCAATTTGATTGACGTATAAATGTAAAGATAAAAATTACAATTAATGGTGTTGCAACACAGAGGCCACGTGCGGGCTACAAATCCCAAAATGTTTAGCAACAGTTTTATACGTACAAAAAAAAAAAGATTTTTTACACTAAATTTTCAAAACCTACTAGTCCATTGCACTATCCCGGCGAATTGAAAATATATTTCATTTGGTTAAATATATATATATTATATTAAAATACGCTACATACATAAAAAATCTACAGCCCAATTATTGGTAACTCTTCAAAAAGGACTAAGACTCGTTTTTGACGACGAGATATAAAAATTACCAAATTAAAGTACCCAAAAAACCAAGTGAATCAGCCTCGTCGTCATAACGTGCCTCCATTTTGTACTAACACTCCTCCCCCTCCACTAAACGCCTCCCAGGATGACAAGAGACAACAAAAGTCATTATCAAGTTTGATCGCGCGTTTCGTCAAAGGCTTTACTCAAATTTACTCATAAAGATAGTATTAATTTGTTTTTTAATGTGTAGTTTACTTTTAATTCGAAAAGCAAATCATCGAAAATTGATCAACTTGAGTCATTTCTTTAGAACGAAAAAAACACGATCAAACAACTGTAGTTTATTCGCGTTGATCGACTGAGAAATGCCTATACGAATTTTTTATAAATTACCAGGATTAAATCACCAAAATCTATCTCAAATTTCTCAGCAACTATTTTCACAGCACAAATTATTACGACACGTGCAAGGAACAACATTGTGAGTCATATTTAGAAAGGGCTGATTTACAATATTATATTCCTTGCACTTATCGATTTTATCGGGATCTTACCGTGATTGTCAGTTTTAGCGGATTCCGAACATTCCAGATTCGCGGCAAGAGTCTACCCGTCATCATAGCGCTTATAACAATGCCATAAAATCAGAATCCATCAAAACAAAAAAATCATCGAAACCCGTTACCATAATAGCCTTTACAACCTTTTTACAATACAAAACTTAACCATTAAAACGGCAAGGCATATTCTCAAATCAATCAACACAAATAACCAGTGTACATCAAACGCAGTAGTAACACGAAAGGAAAAAGACAACAAACAACAACCACAGAATATTCGAGAACGCACCAACGTTCGACTCCCAGTCGACAATACCGAACGAAAACTAATTTTTAAAAAAACACAAGAATTTATACTAGCTACACAGGTACAGTTTTACTTTGTGATTTCCTCATAGAGCACCCAAAGGAGAACGCACCTACTGCTCGTGGAATAGACTATTGCTCATCCAAGTTCGAGCTGAATTCCTCCTATGGTGCTCTTAATGAAGAACCCTTCAAGAAATCAAGACCAATCGTCTCTCAACGTTTAATATCTAAACGAGTGCACGGCCACGTAATCTAAAATGCGACCGCGCGCAATATACGTCGCCGCAAACAACAAACGGACAGATGCTAGCTAATTCAGGTTACATTCTGCTTATATAAGAAAACCATTTTCAACAAACCCGCTCACGAAAATAGCAACTGTACCGTAATCGACTAAACTTGGTTGCATTAATGTCGAAAGCGAGTTTATAGGAAAAAATGGTAGTAATTATTGTACTTGAATCTATATATTTTGCTTAACATTAATAATTATTAGTAGTAAATAATGCAGCATTCTAGACGCGAAAACCACAAGCGTCCAAAATTTAGAAACATCTCGATACTAATCCGTAATTCGCGAGTCACGTCCGTGATAATGTTGCGGAGTTTTTAAATTTTCTACTAAAATCGTAGTTTCACGGTATTGTCTGTTGAAAAAAAATTCAGAGGTCTTGTTTGAAAAATTATCGACGCCGGCCACTTAAAGGCAATATTTAAAAAAACACGTGCTGCTTTTTATTTATGATAAACGTTAAAGCATTTCTAATTGAACGTTAAATTTCGTTTATTGGACACAAATGTGTTTTGTTCGCAATTTCTCAAACAAGACCTTCTCGGCCAAGTCTCACCGATTGCCAACATCTTTGCAGCATCCCCGCACAGACGTTGGCAATTTACAGTTCGGACGCCGACAATTATGTCAAGCGGCGAGACAGTTGGCAAATTATAGAAAAACAAAAACACAGTCATTTACATAGAGACCCAGATGTTGTTGCCAGCGACGAAAGGTTAGTCGCTATGGCTGGCACCAGTCAATCGTCAAGCTATAGAACGTCAAGTTACATACGCAGACTCGGCTGTCTGTTGTCCGTCGGTAGTCGTCGTCGCCGTAGATTGTTAACACCAGCGAAAGGGCACGGCACGCGGTCGGTCGGCGCCCTCCTTCACCAGTGGCTTGTGGAACTCGCGCCCGGGCCGAGAGTGGATCGTCGCCCAGCAGTGCTCGCAATAATACTGAAACGGTCAACGGGCTCACCTTCACTCTCCGAGTATCGTTCAAGGCAACAAATAAGTTTAGTTCACACGATAATTATTCCGCATATTATTGTTGCCAATTATTGAGACACCAACCTAATCGATTAACCCCACATTCAAACTACAACGAAGTGTCTTAATGTGATCGATGCGGAAAAAACAAAGTCATCTAGCTATACCGTCGCGCCCTAAATGATGGAAGATTCATGCGGTAAATCGATCCTCATCTCACCTGTAGACAAGTGACGTTGGCGCAAAAGAACGGCGCAAACTTCGAGCCGCACCGCGCTCCGGCGCACTCGTCACACATCTGGTCGTCCAACACGTACGGCTTCACCTGGAAATTAACATTTCACATCAAATGCACATCTCACATCAAATACACAAACAATGTCAATACCCTAAAGCTTTTAGGTAAGCCATATACCGAGCAACCGTTAAGTATCATAGTATCATATCATATCATCATCATATTATTATATAAGCTCATGGACAACACGACATGAATTCCGCAAGCATTTCAATTATTTACTATTAAAAGAGTACTGATTTGTTTATTGTTCTTTTAATATGTTGACGCGTTGTCGTTTAGATGAATTTAACACAGCTCAGAGGCTGCCGGTATAGAATCCACAGCTTAAGACTAACAGTGTCGTTGCAAACAGCTCGTGTTTAGTTAAGAGATACAAGTAGTTGTAGCTTGGCGACAGACTAGTTAATTCAGAAACAGCTATGAGCGTACAATTAAAATTTAGCAATAACTTGTTATAGCGGAGTTATAAAGTAACGTTTACCCCTATTATGGCAATTTAAAGTTACACTCTACAAATTATTGCCAAGGTTAGTGAACTAGGGATGTGGTGCATAAATATTGACCTAGGAGGTTTGTGTTCAACATCATTGAAAGTCAACATTACATTTGACCAGAAACAGATATGAAAAGATAGAAAACGAATTTCATGATAATCTTTTTATCTTTGAATTTTCTTCTCTCGGAAAAGATGTAAAAAATAAGACTTGTTGTCATTCAGATGTTAAAATCATCTCTGAAAACTATTGTGTAAACTCAATATGTGCCGGAGAATAATTAACGTAATCCAAATATCTATTTATTTTACGTAGATCGCACTCCTAAAACATGATTGAAAAAAAATCTACCGTTTTGTAGGTTTTTCTGTGACAAAATAAATAATTTATTTTAATGGCAACACTGACCTCGACGCGCTTGTCAATGTCGCCGTGCTGCAGCTGCACGAACCGCGCCGAGATGGCCGCTATGTACGACTGCTGGTTCGAAAACGCAACCCGTCCGGCGCCCTGGTAATACGCAAACGCCAAGTTTAAGCGCAATCACTTTGCATCTCCCACGCCAAAGCCTTCATAACTTTTTGTAATGTAGATTAGAGACAATAGTCGTAGATTAGAGGGATTTTTTAATATAATCTTCTACAAAAATTCCTCTAAACATTCGACACTTGAAATGCAAACGTGACTAAGCGACAATAACTGCTTTGTACATAAATGATAGGCAATAATCATATTCGATGTGCAAAAAATATATATTTCTAGGTCTATTAAAATCATTTCAATCCTATAGCTAGATTCGTTAAAATATAATATTTTTCAGGTATTTCAACTATAAATTAGTCTACTGTAAAGTTCACGCATTGTCGCTTAGTCATGTTTGCCTTTCAAGCGTCGATATGTTTGTCACTCAAGTCACTTAGGGGCTGGACCGAATTGTGACTTTTTATGTAAAATTCAGTGGGAATCCTTGAATTGTTATGCAATGCACTGAGCTTCCCGAGTTTTTTTTTTTCAATTTTCAGAGTAGGAATTGTATCATTGGCACGCGCCAAACATTTAAGTAAATACAATTAACTGTCAAATGTCACCCCTCACCTTCGGGTATTTGAGTTCGGGGTCAGTGTCGATTCCGGCATAGCAAACTCCGCCGTACAGCCGGTCCATGATCATCGCAAGCTCGACTGAAACGACAAACAAATTCTTTTAAAGCCATTTACAGGTGGTAGGTGGTAGGAGGTGTGAGTCCCAACGGGTAGGTACTACCGCCCCGCCATTTCTGCTGTGAAGCTGTGATGCGTTTCGGTTCGAAAGGCAGGGCAGCCGTTGTACGGTAAAACAGAACTTAGGACTCATCTCAAGCTAGGTGGCGGTATTTATGTTGTAGGTGTGTATAGGGCTCCAGCAACCACCTAGCATCAGGTGGGCCGTGAGCTCGTCCAAGCACATAAGAAAAAAAAATGGAGATCACTTTTCTTTAGGGGGTCGAACCTCCTACGAGGTATGTAGGACTTAACGGTCTGCAAATGTTGGGAGTAAAAACAAAATATAAGACACTTCTATCAAAAGCTGTAAATGGGACAATACCGGCTTTAAGTGGACGCGGCACTCCTCCCACGAAGACGGTCTTCCTCGGGTCGAGCGGCATGCTCGCGTCCAGCACGAAGTCAGCGTCCGCCAGCCGCCACGGTCGGATCTGGACCGGCTTGTCGCGGATGGTCGGTGACGACACACACAAATACAGCTTGTCCTCATCAGTGATGCACGCTTCCATCAGAGCAGCCACCGAACTTTCATCCTGCAGGGGAATGAGCTGGTTGACTCAAAGATAGCCTCGGAAACCTCCAAGTCTGGTCTTGTAAGTACTCTATATTAGAAAAACGATGCGCGTGCAGCTTGGTGCACGTGAATGAAGTGAAACTTCTTTTTCGATGTGTAGTATTGTGGTTTTCTTCATCTTTCATCCTTAAATCAGATTGCTCTTGTAATAGGGTTCGGGTGCCACGCATTCACTCTCGCTCTGTCTCTGTCTATTACCTCTCCCCAAGAGCGTTAAACGTGTAACGCAACCTTGTTAGAAGTCGCATTAGAAGTTTCACTTCAATAAGTAGACAAGATAATCCTTCATTCTCTTCAAAACAACAAGAAGATGACCCCCAATCAGGGCAACAAAGCGCTTATACGAATAAGTAATTAAACACACTTACTTGAAACAGCAGAAACGCGTAACCCTTGGGCGGAAAATAGCTTTTGCTCTCAGCCTTGTGAGGCCAGTCTACCACCAGCGGCCCGAAGCGACGAAACGAAGACGTTATCTCGTCTGGATATGAAACAAAAGATAATTGCGTCATCAGAGTCGCACCATTTAATCTACGCATCTACAGTGGCGACTACTCTTAGTTATTGGATATTAATATGTCCTTTTTCGAACGAGCAATGAACATTGCACTGAGCGGTAAGAGCTCTGTTGTATCCAGACACGTTTAAAATTCTGTTCTTGAATCTTGTTAGCGCAAAGTTTTAAAAGAGTTCCGTTTTGATATCCGATACCCTTGTAATTTTTGGGTCTACAATTTCGCCAAACTTCACTTTGGCAATAATAACATTTTCAATATGTACTTTGGTTAGAGTCAAGCTCAAGCAATACAGAATCAAAATGAAACCACGGTACTGATTCAAACAGATATACGATAAAGTTCAAAGTCATCGCTTATCGATATAAAAAATTGGATCGGACAATTGCTGCATCAGGTGGCCCCTCGATCCTAAACAAGACGGACATGATACAAAATTTCAAGTTTCATTTCTCACGGGGCTGCGTTTTCGACCCGGTGGTAGATTTTGCGAAGCACTGGCATTGGCATGACTACCGGGCGACCACTAGTAAACTTAAATCAATCATCGACATCAGTTCACCGAGAAAATAGCTTCTGAGGTGACACACAAAAGATACAATCGAATTAATAGACTCGTATTTTCAAGTCGGTTAATAAAGTAAACACTAAATGTGTTACGGAAACATGCATTCAAAGCCCTGTCAACTAGACAGCTTCATACCAAGGCCGCAGAGTACATCAACGGGCGTCGCTTAATCACATGTTTGTAGCGGCCATCGCTAGGCGACCAAATGTTCCGGCATTATAATCATTTAGAAACCAAGGATGTGTACCTAATTACAGGTAATACAGCCATTAGCGAGGCCATTCATTAATAACAAATAACGTTTTTTTAAAATACTCGAGTTTATCGATTTTTACAAGGGCATTGCAGTTCCAAGTAGACCAATTCATGTACACTGTTTTTATATTGGTTTTATAGAGCTTAAAGCTTGCTGTTGTCTAGAGGGCAGTCTCTCCGTGAAAGCTATCAACCCATTTCGAGACGAGATCAAAGCCTATTGTGAGCTGTTACCACAAATATATCAGGTCCAAATAAAATGTCTCGCTTACAAGCCGTTTTCACGACTCGTAGATAATCAATACTTTTACGGTATACCTTCACCTTTGTTTTATTGTCACTAAAATGTATCTTTCCTTTCGAATACTCTACAGTTTTCGTGGTCACGGAAGACTGCTAGTAAATCTAGACCTAAATTCACCACCATTGATAATTTAATAGGTTCTCAGAATTTTCAGACCTACCTGTCTGTATAATTGATAATTATTGAATTTTTTCTAGTTTTTCAATTTCTGGAATTCATTTTCTTTGCACGTATTTGAATATTACTAGGCGTGTTCCCTACCCTAAGTATCGTGTTTTTCATTTTTATATCCACTATCTGCTGTAATTTTTATACCGTCAATCTCACATTTTATTTTATTCTCGATTGATCTAGTGAAGAACGGGGTCATTCCCTTCATTTGTATACAACATTGCATAACGCCAATGGCTTCAGATTGTCCTACTCACATCACTATAATTCAAGAATAAGATATCCGAGCTAGCAGATTCATCATAACATTGTGACAGTAATAAAGTGTGCAAAGAAAAAGTAAATCCAACAATTTTACCCATCCAGCAATACAAGACTACAACACAGATATCCCTACAAAAACGTATACAGAAATCATTTTAATGCAAATCAAAGATTCACAAACTCAATTCCAATGCCAATCAAAGAGACATTTACAACAAAGAAATTACAATTCCAATGAAGAGAGATTTCAGGGGCCGGTAATACAACAACGCGGTGACCCAGTTCCGCGACAAAGGGAAACACACACCGACCGCATTTGTGACGATGCCTGATAACTATTAGATAAAACAACAAGAGCCGAGCCGTGGTGCGATTACAATGGGGGATCCGCACAGAATAGACCGAAATGATAACCAGTTTACAAGAGAAACTACGCACTAGAGAATGGCCAAGACGGCGATAAATTTGGTTACATAATGCACCAAGAACAGTTTGAGTGACTACTGGTTTAACAGAGAGAACGCGATATTCATCAGAACTGAACGTGAACTTGTGTTATCTGTTACCTTCGTCGATGTCTGGTGGCAATCCGCCGACAAATACTTTACGGCTAAATCGCTCGCCGTGCTCAGAGCCGGCGGACACTGGTGACGACCGCGCCGGCGATCCGAGCGCACTCACGCACATCGAAAGACCTGAAAAAACACAAAAATTACCATGAAATAGTTACACTAGATAAAGAATTCTTAGAGTGACAAATGATACGGTACAATTTATAGGTAATAGTAACTAGGTTAGAAATTATAATTAATATCATCATCAGTCCATAGACGTCCACAGCTAGACATTAGCCAGGTTCGTCACAATGACCGGTCCTGTGTGCTTAGTGCGAGCTTTTTTACGTTCTCGATAACGTTAACTACAATTTGTATGGAGTTGGAACGTATGCCTACGTTTGCCGCTAGGGGCGCTGTTCCAACTGCATACAAATTTGAGTTAACTTTTACGCCCTCGAGAACGTTCAAAAACCCGCCGTAAGCAGCCCACTGAGCTGCCTGTGTCCAGGGGGATTTGCTCGATTTACCAGGTCGTCGGTTCATCTCGCGGGAGCCTACCCACTGACTTATCCAGTGCGCGATTGCCACTCAAGCTTGGCTCCAGCAGCCATATGTTCTACGACCGATGTGGCCTACCGATAATCAATTCAATCTTGCTATACTACGGGCTATATTAGTTACTTTGGTTCTTCTGCGAATCTCCTCATTAATGATTCAATTTGGCAGGGAAACTCCTAACATAGCCCGTCAATTGAGAGGCCCTCTTTGAGCGACTGAGTATTTAGATAAGGCACATTAAGGACCATGTCTCACTTGTCATTTGTCACCGTAACATAGTGGTCAAAGATATTCCTCGTCTTGAGACGAAATGATAACTTAGTAAATTGGTATTATGAGAAACAAAAATTAGGCACTCAAAGGTTTTCACACTTTATTCCCAAACCACCTAGCTTTAATGACTAAACTTAATACATGTTACTAGCTAGTACTAGATCTGAATATAACGAGAAATATTCCATAGTCAATTACTTTTATACATTGAAAGGTTCTGATCCTTGTTTGATTGTAAATCCCTTTAAATGACGGCCAAATAAAAATCAAAGTAATGGGCATTTTATAAACAAGGAACAACCAATTATTATGACATGCTCAACAAACACCTAATGTGTCACCATTTATACGCAGAGAAAATGACATTTGTGGGAATAAAAATGTTCAACAATTTATACTGTCGTTTGTTTTGAACGGCGAGGTCATGGGTATCGTGGATCGTATATTAAAATAGCTATGCCACACTTCAAAGCAACCGGACGCTTCGCAGCAGAAATATATAGGGTAAAACATTAAAATAAAAACAAAAATCAGTCCTTTCCCATTTAGAACTGACAAAGCTGAGAGATGAAAAAAAATGGTGCGCGTACAACTTGATGCGCGTGAAAGAAGTGAAACTTCTTTTTCTGTGTGTAGTATTGTGGTTTTCTTCATTTTTCATCCTTAAATCAAATTTCTCTTGTAATAGGGAATGCTGTGTAAAAGAGAAACGAGCTAGCTCGTTTTGTTCTTTCGCTCTCTCCACGGTCGAGTGGTTTGTGAGACGCTGTCTATTTTCTCACTCTCGCTCTTCCTAAATTGTATCTTTTCTCTCTAGCCGTAACGAATCTGGCGCGAGTTAAATTTTACTCTCAAGACCCATAAAGAAGTTTCACTTCAAAAAGCAAGATTGCCAAACCGTGCTCTCTTGTATACTGCGTAGATTTCTGAGCGAACTCGTAGTCTAATGTGAATAAGTCCCTCCCATCACAAGAGATCAGAACCTTGATTCTATTGTTTGACGTGATAGATTGCTGGCTTAAATTGGCAGGATCATAAAAACAAATCCAGCCATTCATGACACAACAATTCTCGGTCAACAGTTGAAGATGGGTCGTATTTTTTATTAAACTTCTGAGTTGTTTGACTAATGATAAACTAAAATAAATACCATTTCTAACTGCTTTTCGTGATTCGTTATTCTATACAAATGGAATGTCTTCACTCAGCATGAAAGGAAAACGCAGCTCAATTTTAGAATCTTGTAACCTCACCGGATCGGAGGAAAGGAAAAAATGGTGATGGGTCAACGAGCTAACGGGTTGCACAGCTCCAACTGGTGCTTAATAGTTACCAGAGCCCATAGACATCAACATCAACTACATGCTATTCCCAAACAACCACCTTGACACATGACTTCTAAATTCAATAATGCAATGGCTACGTCGCTCTCTTCAAACAGGACCCGCATTTTTTTATTTCTTGTATGGTCGGACGAGCTCACAGCCCACCTGGTGTTAATTGGTTACTGGAGCCCATAGACATCTACAACGTAAATGCGCCACCCACCTTGAGATATAAGGTCTAAGGTCTCAAGTATAGTTACAACGGCTGCCCCACCCTTCAAATCGAAACGCATTACTACTTCACGGCAGAAATAGGCGGGGTGGTGGTACCTACCCGCATTGCTGCATCGCGGCAGAAGAATGGTGGTACCTACTAGTACGGTCTCTCGAGACGCCCCGCCACCAGTAAATATATTCCACCATAAATTTAACCACATAAATTTGGAGCACTTACCGGCGGCGCTGAGTCGGTTCACGACATCCTGCGTTTGGTCCCCGGAGACGGCAGGCGACCCCGCCCCGGCAGCACCGGCACCTTCCTCCACTCCGGGAAAGAAAGGCGACTTGCCTGGAAAAAAAAAAACAAACTGAGCACAAAAAAAGTATAAAAACCGGTCTTAATTATAATGGATTCATCAAAGTCTCTAACCATTGTTAGAGTAGCATAGTGATGAAGATCTCTCGTGGTCGCCTTCGTATTTAACGAACGATAGCTCATCACAGTTTCTGGTATAACCAAATCAAAACTATCATTGCTTGAAATGCTCCCAGTTTTCCTTCGTACAGTTAAAAGCCTCACGTCATTAGACAAAGCCTCATAATAATCTCATACAAATGTTAATTCACTGACAACTGACAACAACCTCAAGGTGACCTCGGAAAAATCAATACTATTTCGTCCTCAAGCGCTCGAGGCTTTAGTAATGTGGCGACGCTCAAATCAGACTAATAACATAAAACAACAAATATATCCCAAACATTACAAACATAGTCGGTAACAATTGTTTTAAAACGTTGTATTTTGAATTTTGCGAACAGAAAATACTCTTCAACGCAAATTTGTGACTAACAAACGGAATCTATTTAGAAAGTCAATGGGTAACGTTGACAAAAACTTTACAACTTGCTTACAAATGTTTGTATACACCCTTAATGAAATATTACGCCATTATATTATTATGGGGGCTGCTTCAATTTTGCAACGAGTCTGGTACATCATTTGAAGAATACTGATTGATGCATCAGCGATTCCGAAGCAGTTCCTCCGGCATTCTAAGCAAAGGCGTCTTTTAAGACCATACAGGGTCCGTGTGCAATTATTACCCCAACACTCTCCAGTAAGCGCTCCGTCAAAACGCTAAAACCACTGTCTCTCATTCTGAGCGCATGTCAAGAAAAAAAAAAGATTTGCTTGAGACTGAACTGAACTGGGAGGTTCTAAAAATCGAACGACAGTTTCTGGGTATTAATAAATCATGAATCTTTACACAGAAATATTTAATTAGTATATCAAATCCGAAAATCCAGCACTCCAATATCAAGTCAAAATTCAACGGCAAACTCCGATCTCAATTGAATACGAATTTTCGAGAAAAAAAACCATTAAGATTTATTTAATCATCAAAGATTGATGAAAAATCACAAGAGATATTTGAAGAAATTTACAGCGGGATTGAGTGACTGCGATTGAGAAACGCGATTTAATTTGCAATCTCACTTCGTCCGCTGGGACGCTATATTTTCAGTTTCATTCGAAATTGTCGATTGGTGCCATCAATCATCAACAGAGAATTACGTGTGGCGACCAGAGAGCTCACGTCTAAATATTTTCGCCTTCTGGCTGCCGGCCAAAAAACGAACCAATTTTCATAATGTCATTGACTCTTAGTCACGTAAATACGAAACGTAAAGAGGCGTCCAGAATACTAGCAGTATTATGAATTGAACATTCGAGTCAGCTGTATTTATGCGAAGTCTACCACACAAATAAAAAAATGTGTGCGTGTACTAGTGTACACACGTAAGAAGTGAAACTTGTTTATGGCCTTATTTTTCGAAAAATGATCTACATGCAACTTTCTAGAAATTGGTTAAATAAAGTTAAATTAGATAAAGTTTAAACAAAAGGATTTTATTATCATAGACATGAATACAAAAAAGTTAAATTAGATAAAGTTTAAACAAAAGGATTTTATTATCATAGACATGAATACAAAACAGATGGCGCGTAACGGAAAAAAGTGACGCGTAACCGAAAAATGTGACGGTAAATTTTTTTCCAACGCCGATAAGGAAGTTTCACTTCAATAATAAACATGTTACAGAATTAAACTGGAAATGACAGTCTGTTGACAAGATACAATGTTGGCATACTACTTCACGGTTTCAACTGTACTCGCGCGTACTAATGTGTATGAGAGAGCCAACTATCTCATGTCAACAAGGCACACGGTGAGCATTACCAAACTAACCCGCAATTATTGCGGATTTCTTCCTACAAAACTTGCAAAGTCAATGATAAAAAAAAAACTTATTTCACTTGCGCACGCAAAGTGTTGACCGCGGTAACCCCCTATATCTCCTGGGCGGGTATTGGACTCTTGTTGGATAGTATAGGAGAGTTGCTTAGTGAGTGGCTGCTACTGTCTTGGAAGCCCCATATAACGCGGGGAATTAGTATGAGGTTCGGTCCCCGGCCCAAAAAAACGGTGCCCAGACAAACTCACGAAAAAAAATGACCAGTTTCATGTGATCTTACTGAAAATACTTATAGCAAATTTCCATATACATTATTATTAGCTGTATAGCAAGTACAACCCGCCCTTAAACAACCATCGTATATCGTGACCTACGCGATTCCCGGCAGGACATTCTAGATTCAGGGAGCTTTGACCTTTTAACCAGGCGGGTTAGAGGTCAACCGGGGTTACATGTACTAATAATATAATAAAATATACGGACGGCACTAGACCACATATCATAAAGGGACTCAACATGCACCATGTAACATTCTCTTACACGGATAACTCACAAAATTCACTACTACTCCGAGTGCTCATGCCTGACAAGACTAAAAAACCAATAGCTACCATAATTCCTCGTCTTAAGGTCTGGATTTTTAAATTTGCACTCATGACATGATTTGTGAAATGAACTATGATAAGAATTAAGATAATTCAAATTAATTTGACATAAACTTCTATTCCAGGGCCTTCTTTTATAGGCAGAGTACCTCTCACCTGGCCCATAGCGAGTGGTTACTGCTGCTCATTTACGTCAGCAAGGGTCAGAACCAAGCCGCTGCCTACAGCTAAAACCTGGTCATGTGACTTCCCGAATTGTTAAGGGACCAGCACTTTTTTTTTATTACCTAAGCTGAGAGCCTTGAGAGGCTATTTCAGCGTAACCTTAACTAGTAGGTGTGCTCACGCGGGGCTCAAACCTGACGACGTTGTTGCTAATACGAACCCTAGCAAGAGCCCTGGTTCGTAGAATCTACCACCGGATCGGAAACGCGACCCACTGAGAAGATCCGGCGAGAAACTCAGTGGGCTGTGTCTGAGGGTTAATTTACTCGTCGAGCCCTTTGTGGCAAGCGACGGGTGGTCCGAGTTTGCCATTCTTATTTATACGGTTTTTATTCTTCTGATTCTTCAACCTGTGCCCATCCAATGCTGAGTGTAGATAGATCCCTTCATATGCACTCCATTCTTTTCAGTCTCTTGCCTTTCGCATCCAGTCCTTACCAGCTAATTTGACCATTTTTGCAACGTTTCAGATAATTTAGTTTTCACATTCATAGACAACTAAGTTATTCATCGTCATTTAAATATTGTGCTAGCTACAAAAACTGGCAACCGCCTATATTGATGTCGGTTTAAAAATAATCTCGATAAGATTCCGTAAACAAAGCCCTATTTTAGACAAAATTATAATACGTAGATACTGAGCACAGAAAATCTCAATTTATAGACACGTTTATAACTTTTGCTACTATTGTTCGTTATAAGATAGATTTGTTCTCTTTGTTTGCGTGTTTAATATCTATAGACATACAAACGAATGAAATATGTATATTAATCTCTGGTCCTTACAGTACATAGTTTGAGGCCGGATGACCCGTGTGTACGTTACGTACGTAATACGTTTTCCGGTTATTATTTTATTAAAATACTAGATTAATTAACAATTAAATCCCGGGAGTTAATAATACCGACTTTGTTTTCATGACCGCCCGTACGATCCGGTGCTAAGCGATTTTGCAAAAGCCGTTACTTCAAAAGGCGTCAAGCTCAAACCCACGTCTGGGCGTAACTGGAATAGCCAGCTACCGGCCAATAGGTAGAGAAAAAATAGTCAAACCAACATTTAAAACCAAACGCTTAAAATAAAATGTAGTTAAAAAACTCAAGAAATACGCCTTAAAAACAAAGCGAAATAAGAATCAAATTATTCGTATTAATCCTAAATATCTTGGTCAGGATATTTGGTAAAATAAATAAAAGCTAATGTATGAGCTGGTAGCCTTGAGAAGCTACGCCAGCGTAGCAGAGCGTGAACTCACGGGACTCAAACCTGAAGACGTTGCCAACACTAACCCTGTCAAGAGCAGTGCTTCTCAGAATTTACCACCGGATCGGAAACGCGACCCACTGAGGAGATCCGGCGAGAAACTCAGTGGGCTGTGTGTGTGGTTTAATGTACTCGCCGAGCCCTTCGTCGCAAGCGACGGGTTCAACGAGCATTGGTGACCGGTAGTTAAAGTACCTAAAAGCACCGTTAGTGGATCGGGAGGATACGAAATGACGTGTTTTGGGCGACGTCGACTGTTTACCGTTCAGTCTCGGGATCGGGAATGAATCGTCGGTCCTTGATGCCCGTGGAAAATGTCAAGTTAATCAGACGTCGCCATGAAGACTGAAAAGATACATAATAGCAAGGCAACCTTAAACCCACTAAGGACATTCTCACAATTAGCTCGCATACATTAGATTATTAACAATAGGTACGTGTCACTGTACCTATGCAGTGCAGCTTTTTATAGAAACGAAACGAAATTTAAAGATTTTTTTAAACAATCAATTATTTAAATTAAGTCATTGCTAGTTAGTAAGCTGAAGTGGCAGTGGGCTGGTCACATATGTCGCAGAATCGATAACCGTTGGGGTAGACGTGTTCTGGAGTGGAGACCGCGAACCGGCAAACGTAGTGCAGGACGCCCTCCTGCTAGATGGAGCGACGACCTGCACAAGGCAGCTGGAAATGACTGGATGCGTAGAACCGAAGATCGGGTTCAGTGGCGAGCTATGGGGGAGGCCTATGTCCAGCAGTGGACTGCCGCAGGCTGATGATGATCGTGAACTTACAATGTTACACGAACAACAACTTCTCTTAACTTCTCAATTAATGAGGATACAATCCAAATAAACTACATTTCCTTCGTTACTTCCAAATTAATCCAACGTTTGGTAATAGTTGAAAGTAACTTGTTAATTATTCATTTAAATAGATCACGAGCTCACGGCCCACCTGATGTTAAGTGGTTACCGGAGCCCATAGACATCTACA